GTGTGTCCTTGTAACCATCAGATATGCATAGTCCAACTAATTATATTTTTGTTCATTTTGCTCTATTTTGTCTGATGGAGATGCCTTTGACGTTGAAATATGACAATGAGAATAAGATACTCATATATACACTTTCACAACACGAACAGTTCTGACCGATATATTTCTTTATACTATTTTGTGGACAAAGCAGAAAAAATAAAGAAAAATGAATAAGTCGTAACTAATCACTATGTCTTCATAAATACATGTATATGCCTAATTACTCGCTGAATACATAGCTGAATTTTCCTTCAAACCCTTCTTAAAACTATAGGTGTTATTAGGGGAAAGTAAAAGTCAGTTTTGTTTCTGCTATTGAAATTTCCACGAAAAAAAGTAACTTTTCTTTTTGAAATTCTTTTTGTTGAAAAAGTGATTTGAAAAGAAGGAAAACCCTAAAAAAGTTTTATAACGATAAATCGGTATAAAAACGGCCGATTGAAAAGTTTGATGGGGTCGGATCGGGTCGGCCGACCCGATACCGATTTACCGATCCTGTTCCAACTCTGGGATGCACATGTTGTAAAAGGATATATATAGAGAACAAGTGGATTTCACGGGCATATTTTCTCTTAATTGAACGAAAATCGAAGCTCTTTTTATATCACTATTATCGTTTCGTCTGTTCGAACGATCAATCATATCAACTTTTCGAGATGTGTTTCACATCTAGTTCATGTAGTGGTTTTTCTGGCTACAGTGGCTAGTTCTGTACAGCAGGCCTGCATTAATAAACGTTTTAATCATTTTTCGCACACATAATTCTAGATTTCCTCCTCCACGTCACTCCAAGGTAAGGTAGCAGAGATATTCGTATAGAGTCTTCCTCTATCACATATTTCATCTCTTTATGATACTCCTCATTATTCGTTCGAAAAAGCCTTTTCACATGGTATATTACGTCCTTGAAGTCCACTTGTTCTATGTATGTATCTTTTTACAACATATGCATCGATCATCAAATTACAATCATTGGTTCAAACGAAAGAAAAATTGTCATACCGTATAAGTCAAGGTTCGACATTACGAGAATATGGTTCATCCGTTTCTCTTACATCAATGACACACAAAAGAAAAATAGGGTATAAATACTCGATTCCTTTCTCTGTATCACTATCATATTCTCAAATCATCAACGTTATATTCAATTTTATTAAAACCAGTAAATAGACAATAGAATGTTTGGACCACAACTTCTCGGTAAGTTCGATTCTTTTTTCTATTGGATTCTCATTTCACTATTAGCTTTCTGTTTGTGTACAGGAGGATCATTAGGCGGCGGTTTCGGACAACCACAATGGGGTAGTGCTGGAGGATTTCCTAGTACGTTTGGCGGTGGATTTAATCAGGGTGGATTCTCTCAGATGGGAGGAGGATTTGGTTTACCATTTAGTGGATTTAATCAAGGAACATTTGGCGGAGGAATAGGAGGTATGCCAGGCGGATTTAGTATGAATCCTGGAGGACTTGGTGGTGGCATGGGTGCGTTCGGTGTGGGAGGAATGGGTGGTACAAGTGGATTTGGATGGTAATTCAAATGAGCCAATCTAATTTTACTTTTTTA